AACTATGATGATGGTTTCACTAGAATACATCTCAGATCTATCTAGCTTCTACTACATCGGATATGTTAGTAAATATGTAGATGTGCTCCTTTTTGTCAGTCCACACCTCCCAATCCTTGTTCTTGTTTTTTTTTTCTTTTTTTTTTTTCTTAATTTTTTCTTTCTTTTGTTCTTATTTTTGTGTTTTCGTTTTTCCATCCGTCACTTTGCGTTCGCTCTTCTTTCATTGGTATCTTGAAATCATAGCTCCTTGCATATGTATCAGATCCGTCGAATTCAACTCTTCCTCACACCAATCCTCGATTCATCTCATGACCTAACCAGTGTCAAATGAGCTTCATCTAAACCTAAAAGTCACCTTCAAAACACCCAACCATCATCCGTCTCCGAATCCTCAGTATCCTTAGAGCCAGACACAGCAGACTGCGCAGCCTTAGCCAGCGCCTCATACGCAAAGTCCCGGACCTTAACCGTAGGATCCATCTCCGCAGTGAAAGGAACGTAATCTTTAACCCCCACCACTGTCTTCGCTTCTTCTTCCTCTTCCTTCTTCTTCTCTTCATCGCGGCGTTTCTCCTCCTTCGCCTGCTCATACGCAATCTTCCGGGCCTCTGCCCGCTGAGCAACCTGGCGCTGCCGCTCACGTTCACCCTCGATGTGATGCGCAAGCATGGCGCTTCTCCAGGCCTGAGGAGTCTCCTGCATCTCTCTGTAGTGAGGCTCCGTGTACCGCTCCTTGATGTCCACTGTGACTCTGATAATGGCATCATAACTCTCAATGGCCCGGTTGATCAGATCCCAGACTGCGATCAAGGCGCGGGTCATTTCGACGCGCACGGGATTCCAGTTCTCCTTCACGGGAAGCTGGCGCTGATAGTCATTCATGAAGTCGGTGTAGATGTACGCGTCGAAAAAGTCCAAGAAGACGGTGAGAAGGTCACGCTCAGATGGGCGGGGCTTGTTGAGATGGCTGATGAGGGTGAGGCGTTAGTTGAGTTTTGCTTCTGCTTTGCTTTGCTTTGCTTTGTGGTATTGGGTGAGAGAATGGGATAGGGGGAGGACATACTTAAGGATCAGTTCCGTCATGTTTCTGAACCGAGTCACCACGTTGTACTGCGTATCTTCTGCAATCTGCTTGACCGAATATTCAACGCGGCGCGCCCAGGTGAGTTCTTGTTGCAAAATGTGGTCCACAATGCCGATGCATTTCCTGAGCTCTTCTAAGTGGTGCATGACCTCTTTGACTTCGTCTTTGGTCAGTCCGAGGACTGGATCCACGGGGGTAGCGTGTCTGCGAAAGAGGAGGAGCTCAAGTCGAAGAACAGTGTTGCTCATATCGATGAAGCGTGTTTTGGTAGTCAGGCTCATATGTTCTGAGCTGGTCATAGTCCGCATTTGCTCGAGGGTGCTCTTCTTGCGCTCCTCGGCAACAAGTGGAATCGAGTCAGAGCCAACTCCTGCGTGTTGGGTGTTCAGCTGTGAGGCCGGGGTAGGGGGGCTTTCGATCTTAGGTGTCTCGGATACGTTGGTCATTGTGCTCGCGTTGATGGTATCCTCGTCACCCGCCATGGTGAAGGGAAGAGGCGCAGTTGCCAGCGAGTCAATTTGTCTGAAGCTGATGACTTCGTCGCAAACCTTGGAGATAGCTATTTTGTATGATTCTTCAATCTGCCTGTTCTGGCGGGCGTCACGGTTTTCACACGACCTGTAGTATTCAGGGAAGCGCTCCGTGTTAACGTGTAGAGGAAGTGGGAGACCAGAATTAGGCCTGTTTTGAGTAAGGAAGGCTGGAGTGGGCTCTATGGGTTCCTCATTCACTGAGGGCCCGGGCTCCCCAATACTCTCGCTTCTATTATCTGGTACGTTTGCCATGGTTGCCTCCATGGCAGAAATCTCGTTGTTGGTTTCGATAGGCGAGACCATCCCCTTGTCTTCATCCTGGGCTTGCTCGGGATACCCCTCAAGATATGCGATGTGGTGGCGGTAGAGCTCACGGATACAGGACTCTATGCTCGACTTGGCGGAGAGAGTGCCACTGCCTGTGAGTGCAGATGCCATGATAGGCAGGTGGTCGCGTGTCCTAGAACTGTGAAAAAGTACACTGGGAGCTGGGAAGAGAAAGCTGCAACAGGAAATCACAACTGCTCATATGCGTTCATGAACACCAGAGATCTCGAAGCAACTGCCTGCGTGATAGAGAACCATGCACAACTGCTCCTGCTAAAGAAAGATCACACACAGTATCACAACGCCTTGAGTATCCTGAGAAAGACTGAATATGATGATATTGGATGAGAGTGATGACGAGAGAAGAAGAACACTGGGAGATCATCTTCGTGAGAACACTTATCAAAGCGGGCCATGCAATCTCGGCGACGACTAAGCAATAAAAGATTCACTGTGTATACTGCTGCCGACGCCTTGAACTACTTGACCGTGCGGCTGTGATCACAGGAACAGCGGTTGTGGGCCCAGGGACGGAAATTATCTTGATGTGACTATCTACTACAATGGCTTCTTTGACCGTTGGAGAAGTCGCAATCGCGGGTATGGTATCGAATTATACCGGCATACTTGTGGTTCGTGTCTATACGAATTGCTTCCATCCTCCGGCAGAAGTAGGGCTATGAGCTTACCCAATGGTCCTGGCTTTTATTGACATGAAGAACAGATGAAGACTAGGACTCAGCGCCATAAATCGAGTGAAAACCATTCCTATATGGACTCTCAATTGGAATGGGATCGACCTAGTGCCATCCTGATATCCCACCTAGAAGGGGTCGTCAATTGCATTGCAAAGTTGAAGGCCGCAAATAACTGCATGTCTTATGAATCAATAGTTGGGCGTTGTATAGTGGATCAACCACTGGCGGAACGGCCCTTCCCGTGGTTCGGCTCAAGCACTATTTATGAGAACTGAACTTGGTGATGATGGCATGGGCAAAGGACCAAGAAAGTTTACATTTAGAAGGAAAATTGCGTGAACGTGGTGCTATCGCTAGTAAATGAGTCTACGATAATTGGTCTTCGAATAGGTCATGATCTGCACTGGGCAGATACCCCTGAAAAACATACGCGGATAGTCAAAGTTGGGCGTCCCTACTCTTGGGCATTGTTGACCCCCTTGTAGTGGCGAGATCAAATCAGAAGCAGGATTGCCTCGATCTTCGTAATTGAGCAAGTCTGATTACAATTTGCCCACCGGCACAGCTTGGCTCGGGAAACTAGTACGTACTTAAGAATGTCATTAAAGGCACAAGGTAATAACATTCAGGGTATATGAAACTACATATCATGAGTGTACCGCATCTCAATCCATGACGCTTACAGAAAGAATCGAGCGTCTAGTTTAATCGAGATGCAGTTTGACCCTCCCTCCAGTCATGACTGCGGAAACTAAGCAGGTGAAAAGGAAAGAACAAAACGTTCTCGCCAGCCACACTACTTAAACAGACATGATCTGTGAGGTTAGCGAGGGTCTGCCTCGTTCTTCGCACAGTGACTGATTGGCACCTCATTGATAAGGAGTGTGACAACTCAAAGTAGTGCGTGGATATCGCCAGCGAATAGAGCACTCAAAAGAACAAAAACAAATATGGATACGAAGGTTCATGACTGTAGATGATATACTTGGGACCAGGGTCAGTCTTCCTTCTTACTTTCCTCGGACTTTTCAGCAGAGGCTTTATCATCTTCATCCTCGTCGTCGGGCAACGGAACATCCATGACTCGCTCTCCGGCTTTTTCTAAAGCCCTGCAGCTCCATGTTCTTACACCTTTGTAGACGGCCTAGTATTCGCTGTCAGAAGTTGCCAAAAAAAAAAAAAAAAAAAAAAAAAAAAAACATGATGTAGACATACCCAAAGGAAACTACCAACACCGATGACGATGACCAACCACGCGACCCGGTTGCGGCCAGAATTCCTTCCGCCACCAAACATCCCTGTGCCGCGCAGTGTCAATCCATGCCAGGAAGAAAGCGCAAACACAGCCTTAATAAAAGATAGAAAGCCCAAAGAGGCTATCCCCTTGATGAAATGCTGAGTCCAGGAAGCCTCTTCATTGTCAGGTAAGATACTCGACACAGGGCGCGTATCCCAGTAGTCTGAGCGGATAATGGGGTCCATAGGGTCCACGTATAGATTAATGATCGGGTCAGCAATAAAACCAAGTAAAAATACAGTCAACATTAGAATAATTAAAGTAAGTCCAAGCTGCGTCAATGGGCTACTGATCCAGTGTGCCCATCGGAGGCGCTCTAAGCGATAGTGGAAGCCACATGTCGGACAGTGCCAGTAATTCCTCTTGCCATAGCCTGGGTCCGCATGTCGCCAAAGTTGTAGACATCCCTCATGCACATAACGCGAGGATCCTTTGCATTTGCAAGGGCGAAGTAACCGACCCGACTCCGGGTCTGAGGACTGGTATGTCACGCGTTGCTTGGACTGGAGAAACCCAGGCAGGTGTTCGGATGGAGGAGGGAAGGTAGGGTAGACGGTCTCCAGGCAGATGCGACATGTACGAGGAGGGTAATGCTTTTCGGAAGTCTCGCCTGAAGATTGCGAGGGTTCATCAGGTCCAGCAACATCTCCTGGACTCTGTCTTACATCAAAGTCAGGGTCCGAAGCTGAGACGGAGGCAGAGCTCGAAGGCCACTGCCAGAGCGGCTCATTGCGCAGGTCCATTCTGCCTTTGCCTGAACGGTCTCAGAGCTAATGGCATAATATGATTCTCAGACCTACCAGCGATCTGAGAACCTCCAGTAGCAATTGGTAGGCGCCTGGGTCGAGAGATGCGCGAGGACGAGGAGAAAAAAGAGGGAAAAGTGGGTGAGGGAAAAAGAGGCCAGCTTAAAAAGGCGATGTGGAGAAGAAGTCGTGCCGTAACCGCACTAGCCGCTCGCCTACCGTCACCGCCCGAGGCGCGGCTTGGCGCCGAACCAGCCGGCGGTGCTGCTGCTGCTGCGTCAACATCCTGCCGCCTGCTGTCCTTGAGGGTAGCTCCATTCTTGATCCCCCACGACCTCATCCCATCTCCGTTCACCTTTCATCCATCACTTCTGCACATTTTCATACCCTCTAGAGCTTGTAATTGTGGAGAGACGCACTCATGGCTGATCGCTACTCCTTTTCTCTGACCACGTTCTCCCCCAGGTAAGAGAAGCTCACTGCTCGATAGCTAGGGTCCTTGCTAACATTGCTCAGCGGAAAGCTGGTTCAGATTGGTAATTGACTACTGCTACCTACTGTTAGCTGTTTAAACAAATGTGCTAACGAATTTTAGAATATGCCTTGAACGCTGTCAACCAGGGTGTAACTGCTCTGGGCATCAAAGGTATGACATAGCTCTGATCCACCCGGCCTAGCTTCGAATAGCTACTGATGACCACCGCTACTCAACAGCTACCAACGGAATCGTTCTGGCGACCGAAAAGAAAGCCAACTCGCCTCTCATTGACCCACCTTCCCTCTCCAAGATCTCCCTGATTACACCCGACATCGGCATGGTCTACGCTGGAATGGGCCCAGATTACCGTGTGCTCGTGGACCGGGCCCGCAAGGTTTCTCACACTGGCTACAAGCGCATCTATAACGAATACCCCCCTACCCGGATATTAGTGCAGGACGTTGCTCGAGTTGTTCAAGAAGCGACTCAGTCTGGTGGTGTCCGACCGTACGGTGTCAGCTTGTTGATTGCTGGCTGGGACGAGGGCGTTGAGCCTGAATCGGGAGAGGCTCAGCGGGGTGATGGCGAGGACGAGCCTAAGAAAGCAACCGGCAAGACGGGTGGTATCTTGAAGGGCGGCCCCAGTCTGTACCAGGTCGACCCCAGTGGCAGTTACTATCCGTGGAAGGCCACGGCCATTGGAAGACATGCGACGAGCGCAAAAACATTCCTTGAGAAACGTTACACCGAGGGTCTCGAGCTGGAAGATGCCATTCACATTGCTCTCCTGACTTTGAAGGAGACCATCGAGGGAGAGATGAACGGTGACACGATAGAAATTGGTGAGTTTCACATCTGGCAGATTCTATTGCTATCATGCTGACGATAACAGGCATTGTTGGTCCTCCTGCCGATCATCTGCTTGGTTATGAGGGTGTTGAAGGATCGCGTGGGCCCCGTTTCAGGAAGCTGAGTAAGGAGGAGATTGAGGACTATCTCACCAACCTATGAACTACCCCATAGATCGATACAGATCTTGACATATGAGCCTTGTAGTATAATAGACACGACTCAAGTCTTGCGAGGTTCCCGCGATATGACAGGGCGTCCCGGCCACGCAGAAACCAGGGAGCTGAATGGTGGGTTTTCAGGAGTGACCCTGGAACCTGACGAAATATTTGGGCGGTTCTAGACTCGCCAGTAATACTTCAAAAACCTGATCGGAAATGAATGCTATTGTCGAAATTGCATGACTGCACCTGTCTTCCTAGACCCAGTAATTGGGCTGCTGGGCTTTGGGCCTGCAAGCCACACAGCATCTGCAGGATGGACTGGACCCATAGAGCCCCCATTGTAACGTCGTAGTCAGTCCGTCCTTTTGATTTCCTGCAAAATGGCAATGAATCCATCTAGCTCGGGGGAAACCTGGGCGTTTACACAGAAGCAATTCCGGCGTTGGACCTTTTGATTGTCAGTGGGCGGGTCACTGCAGCAGTCACACGTCCATCAGCGCCAGCCATCTTGACTAGTGATCGCCGACGCCATTCCTTCCACCAATTTCTCCGCAGCAAAAGCAATGACTAAGACCAGCAAGCCTAAGCGGGGACTCAACAATGGCGATTTTACCTGTCATCCAGCTCGCCGATCGGACAAGACTTCCTCATAACATCGTCCGCTCGTCCCTGAGTTGACATTCTAACCATCGTCCACCCTCGCCGTGGCCCAAGCTTGATCTGCCACCATACCCTAAGCCCCTCCCACCACTGGCAACTAGCTTCGCGTCCTTCCACTTCCCCAGATCTGACGGCGCTAGGACATTAGATGAAACTCTGTCAGAGGTGGCCCGGACTTTATCGACTACTCTGGATAGTTGTACCACGTCAGTACCCTGGATGCGGTGTGTTGTGCAGACTCCAATTCGATAACCTTTCCTTCTTGGGATATCTATTGATGCCTGACGCTACCGTGAGCTTGATTGATGGTTGCGACTCGTTTGTTCCAAGGCTGAGAACATGTGGATGGTACTCTGACCACAGGAATCGACATTGATGGCGCGGGTACTCAGAGACGGCGAACTGCCTACGACGACTTCATGCAATTAGTTGAGAGCTGAGCGTGTGAATCTCAATCTGCGATCTGCTCAGGTGGCCATTGGCGTTGTGGTCTTCACTTCGGTTGGCTTTCAAATATAGCCTGTGACGCTGGCGCTATCGATACCCGGCTCGTGCAAACGGAATGCTAATTCTGTGTTTCCCTGATTTTCGCGTTTATCAACTATTATGTCCATATCATCTACGAAAGACCCGCTGGATGGCATCAGCGGCGAGCTCGCAAGCAGTGGTGGTGCCTTCAAAGCCACTTTATTATTCTTCATGGCCATTGCCTGCTACAATGTGGCTGAGCTGGTTGTCATGGTCCTATCGACCTTCCGACGATGGAAGGGCCTATACTTTTGGAGCCTGCTGTTATCGGGCTGCGCCGGCGTGCTACCATACACATTGGGCTTTATCATGAAGTTCTTCACGCAAGCCCCTTCGAATCTCTCTGTCACTATACTTAGTATCGGCTGGTGGGTCATGGTCACGGGCCAGGCGGTCGTCCTGTACTCACGACTCCACCTCGTCATTTGCGACGAGCGCATCCTACAGCGCGTGCTGTACATGATTATTGCGAATGTATTCCTACTCCATGTACCCACGACAGTCCTGACATACGGGTCCAATGCTGTCGGCGATGAACAGCCGGCCTGGGTGATTGGATACAATATCATGGAGAAGGTTCAGATGACAGGCTTTACCATCCAGGAGATCGTTCTGTCTGGACTATACATGTGGGAGACTTTGTTAATGCTGCGGATATGTCTTGTCCGTGAGAACCAAAAAATCATGTATCAGTTGATTTGGATCAACGTAGCTATGCTGGTTATGGACCTCGTATTACTGGGTCTTGAGTATGCCAGCTTATATGCTGTGCAGATCACGCTGAAAGGAGCGATATACAGTATTAAGCTGAAGCTTGAATTCGCTGTTTTGGGCCGACTCGTTGCTGTGGTACAGAATCGCCGGCCGATATCGGTCGACCGGGACATCAATCTCTATTCTTTGGACCGAGAAACTACCAGCGCTCCGGATCGGAGCCTAGCATCTGCTGGAGAAAGTGTATCCAGCCGCACACCGTTTTGTGTGCCAGGCACCGGATACGCGAATGGGACGCACAGAAACATCAACCTCGACACCGGAAAACTCGTGACCATGAGGGAGCTTTCAGCTTGGGTTCAGCGGCCAAATGACGATCGCTGCTGACACACAACTCACATTCTTGACGATGGTGTATCGACTAGCTCATTCATAGAATTGGTGCGGGAGCCTTAAAGCGGGTTTCAGCACCTATGCACTGCGTCATATTCAAAACAATGGGTATATATAGAACTATATACTGAGGCAGATAATACTTTGATGCTCTGCTCACATACCACGTCACCTTTGACCTACTCGAATACCCCTTCCGAATCTTCCTCATCCTGGCTGTCCGCAATCTCCTCTGCCTTTCGCTTCCGCTGGCTTGCAGTATCCTGAGCTGAGTCGGAGTGGACATCTTGTGCTTGCTCTTTCTGTGCTTGAATCTCCTGGGTCTGTATCTTCTCTATGTGCTCTTGTGTGTACCCATTGTACACAGGCTCTTCATGCACCAACGCTTCAATTACGGGCTCTTCTGGTGCCGGTCGCTTTTGTGCAGACTCCTTTTGTGCAGGCTCTTCTGGTGCAGGGTCTCCTGGTGCATGGTCTTCGGGTGCAAGCTCCTCTTGTGCGGAATCGTCCTGTGCTTGGTAATCTTCAAGCTCTGGCTCTTCCTCCACCACCGGTTCCTCTTCCAATGGTTCTTCCGGTTCAAGCGCATCTTCATCCTGTGCTTGCTTCTCCCCGACTTGTACGGCGACGCCATCCTCTGCATTACCTTCGAGCCCCATTTCATCAGCATACAATCCATCCTAGTCGACAAGTCAACACACCTACAGCCAAGCAAAGAATCAACAAAGGAAATCAAAGAGGAACTCACATTTGCGACCCGAAAAGGCACTACGGTTGATTTGTCCCTAACAGTGACAAGCCTCCCATCCTTCTTCATAACCTCCGCAATCCTCACCCATCCGCCATCCCCACCATACCCAAAATCACCATAAACCCCGATCCGAGCACGAACGCACGATTCCCACCCCCTCCCACTCAGTATGGGAGACAGCGTTGCCCTTGCCTGTCCCCGAATTCGGGTATGCGTTTGGTTGATAACCAAGATAGCCAGGTTCGCCCTGCTTGCGAACTTCACCAACTGAGCAGCAAGATCACTAATCACGTTCCACTTTCGCGTTGTGAGCCATTTCTGGACATCCCTCTGCGCTTGCTGCGGTTGGTTAATATCACTAGGGTTAGGGAAATAGGGAGTAAATGGGGCAGAGACAGAGTCTATAACAAGGAGAGTTGTGTTTGGGGGTGGAAAAGAGGCAGGTGGATGATGGAAGAGAGAGACGAGATGAGGGAGTGTGGGAGCACGAATATACGTTAGATTTTCCGTCAAGGACCTGGGAGATGACGGCGACGCAGGAGACTGCGACTCCAGCAGTTTGCGCAGTCGAGGCCTAGGAAGCGGCGATGCCGTATCTTCAATCACCCCAAAGAACAACCGTTAACTCATATCACAAACACACCCGAACAAACACAAGCAATAGATCAAACATACCTATCCAAACCACTCCCTCCCCTCTCCCCAGCGCACCAGCCGCGGCATTCAACCTATCACCATTCATCAGCACACATATTACAAAACTACCCACTCACTTTACTCAAACCACTAATAGATAGATAATACGGAAATAAACTCACCCCAACATCGTCTTCCCCGCCCCCGGCGGCCCAAACACCTCCGTAACATGACCAACCGGCAACCCCTTTAGCTGTTCTCCTTTTCCCTCAGTAAACTCACGTATTCGCTCATTTGACGTCGTCAATATCACCGGTGCAGAGATCGCCTCATCCAGCGCGACCAACCCAGTCGGGATGGCCTTTCTACCTGAGGCAGCATCCGGGAACGCGGTGGACGCGAGCAGGGACTGCGAGGCCGGGAAGGAAATTACGCGGTCTGGTGAGTATTTAGTCCTGATTCTCCTATGAGAAGATAAATTATGGGGATAAACATACGAGGATCCTGAGTAGATAAAGGAGGAAGGTCTAGGTGGTTCATTTCTGGTGTTGTGTTGGAGTGATTTGGTGGATAGGTTCACGCGTCACGCACGCGTTTTGGTGGTAATTGATGTGTGTCTATTGTTGGGGATGAGGGTGGACGGGAGTCATGGTCGGGGCATTTTTATTGTGGATGTATTATTTCCTTGGAAAAGATGGAGATAGAGACAGGAATATAAAGATATAGAAAAGGATGTACGTGTTGGGGATTCGCTTAATTAGATTGACTGGGTATGCTGGAGTTGAGGTTGGATTTAAAGTGGCGTTCCGCTCTTCCTTCCCGGTGGTTCACTTTATCTTGATTATCTAGGCTTTCGGCATCGTAGTGAAATTTTAACTTTATATGATCACAATTACTAATGAGGACCGGAGGAGAAGCTTTAGACTAGATTTATTGAAGTGTATAGTGGTAGGAATAGCATTTGTGATCTTTCCAGTAACTCTTCAGACTTGAACCTTAATCGAGATTTGCATATGTCTCCTCTATTATTATATGCGAAAAGCAATTAGCATTCACAAAACGTGTCGCACAGTATATCATATAAACTACAGTAAATCAGGGTTCTTTGAATTGACAGCCAGTGTTCAATTTGGCTTGTGAATACGTCCATAAAATCACTTCATTAAAGATGACGCAATCGGGTCATGCCTCGTCATACAGGTGTCGAGATTCCCCGACCTATTTGGAATCTCCGCCACACGAATGATGACTTCTGTGAAGATTTACAGGGATATTCCAGATATTTTAGTGCTTTCAGCCGTTGAATAAGGCTGACAGCATGATGGTAAGTCCCGATCTCTCATGGAACTACCCTGTTGTATGCAGGGAATCCCCCCCCGTGGCATGGTTGTCAATGGTCCACCCACTCCTACATAAACAGCCATGGACCTGCTGCTCAACCAGTCTTTCTTTCTTTCTTTCATCATCAGCAAACACAATCCGATCAGAGTCTCTGATATATAAACCCTCACCAAGCAAATGTGGGGGCGTTCGCCCCCTCAACACTATATAAACAGCCTATATAATACACAATACATCATCCTGCTTTAGCGGCACGAAGAATAGCGAACATGAAAGCGGTCCATTCTCATATCAATGGCACTGTGGCTTCGTGAACAGAGTCCAAAACTCATGTGATCCGCAATGCCTCTTGGCTCTGTTCTGTCCGATTCAAGGTTCTTCGGCTTGAGCTCAATTACTGTGCCTGACGTGTCACTGCATCAGTCTCCTCATCAATGGAATATTTTCCACCATGTAGACCGAAGATGACTGAAGAGAGACATACAGGTGCTTGTGACCAGAGAACTGACCTTCGATGGACATATGGGTTTGTGATGGGTGGAGAGGCGGAGTTGCGGCACATTGCGCCGTTCTTCAACGTTTCCTTTTGAAGTGGTTGGTATATAAGAGCTAATAATGAGTCGAACGTTGATAGCGAGATGACCCATGATGGGGTGGCCGATGATGGGATGACCGATGATGAGTTGACTGCTGAGGAGCTTCACGTCGGCTTCACAGACCCATAGCTAATTATACTGCTTCCGCCGATATCTACGATCTCTTTCGCACCAAGGCAATGATATGTCGGACTGAAAATCATGACAACTAGACTGTTCGGGAATCAGCACAACCAAAGCCTTGAAGAAGCTAGCTGTGGCGATTACCGAAGTTGAGTACAATGAGATCAATGAACGTGTCAGAATACGTACCAGAAGCCGACCATCAAAGCAGAAAAGGCAAGCAGTGATGTTATATCGAGCAGGAGAAGCACAGAAAGTTGCTGGAGCACACAATATTGAACGACGAACAGCACCCAGGATGATAAGACATTTATGGGATACCATGACTGATGTATCTCCATTTCTTGGCCATGATGCTTCTTGTTCATCTGTGTTCCTTTGCCCTCCCTAACATTGTGGCGAACCATCTAGCCATGTCCGACTTCTCTGAAGGTAGAGGTGCAACTGAAACAGATCAAGCTGCATAAAGTCCTAGAGTAAAGGTACAACAGCCTCGAACTAATGATATTGGTTTGAAGCCTTGCCAAACAAGAGCTCTGATCCATGTACCCCAACCAATCCATGAACAGGGCCCTGGCCTGGTTTAGTCTGGACATTGATCGCATACACATCCCTGACAGCATCTTCCCTTTCTTTCCCAAGAGGCCACGCACGCGGTATCTAAATGTTGCTTCGATAAATATAAAGCTATTTGACTGCTTTGTCGATAACCGGGGCCTCAATCTTGCATGGCAAGAAATGCTTAACGAGCCGACCCATCTACAACCGTCTCGGGTTGGGGGCGTCGTGGTTAGCCGAAGAAATGTCGTGGGTAGGAAACATGACGCCTCTACACAAGAGAGAGAAAAATGAAGGATGGACCACAGAATCAAGATCGAAGAGGAAACTTCTAGTGATGGCGGTGGAGAGCTCCAGAACAGTGTGAAACTTGTCGAGTCGAGTCGTTGAGAAGCTCCCTGAGATACCTTTCCCCATGACTAAAGAGGGAAACATGCTACAAATGTCTCTCCTACAACAAGCGCTTCTGAATTCACCATAGCATATGTTTCTGCGGGAGTAGAAGCAGCCATCACTTTGCCTACCAGGACAGACCCGTTCGTGTGACCGTGGAGAAGTTCGGCGACATGGGTGGCCAAGGCCCCCATAATTATGTCTACGACGGAGGAGCGGTTGGGAAGGTCGGTGAAGTCCAGTCGGCACTGAAGGCACAGTTTCGTGCGACCGGCAAGGGACAGGTGCCCGCATATGAGATCCGAGAGGTAAGGCAGAAGGAGCATGGCATGGGGATCGGATTGTTTGTCATCACCTTCGCCACCCCACCACCGAGCATTGGGAGAGAAATGCCAGGTGTGCCGGGTGAAAGGACATAAATCCACCCGATGTACGAGCACCTCCGCCCCGTATACCCTTTCCGATGTACTGGTCACTCAACGCGCCAAGACCCCAAAGGAGAAGCCGAAGAAGTAGCTGATCCTAGAGCCTAGTGACTGGAGGAAGGATTACACGTGACCTCCGATTAAGATAGAGCAGAGCGATGCCTTTAAGGAGCGGGTGGATCGTGATATCTTTTCTCTCCATTTCACAACTGACGCAGGATCGACATGCGATTTGCACCACCATTCGCCTCGCTACAATATGATGCTCTCAAAGATTGGGTGTGGGTGTGCTTCTACACATACGATGGCCTGTTCTGAAGAACGTCAGCATAGAGAATAAACATAAGATAAGAAGGCAGGAAGACGGACTATTGTGATGACAGATGCGGGTTTCTTGAATCCTGTGGCTCCCGTATCCTTTGTTGCCCTGAACCTTCAAATCACTTGTGCAATGTGCGCCGTTTCTGGTATCAGGGAATAGCCCCTCGAGAGCTTATATACTGAGTCGCCGTTATTCAGACACCATCCTCACCGGTTGGTTTGCTGCAGTCAGTTGCTATCTGATATCAAGAGCTGGAGAACAAGTGATTGTGGAAGAATACCCACTCTCGACATATGGGAGTATTGAGCATTATGAGTATAACAATCTTCCCTGAAGTCCGGGCAGTATTACATCAAGCGAGAGGCTAGTGGCCAGTACATCTTAGGCTGCGTCGCCTGGCTGGCTTATCTCGACACTATGTACCCGGTGGTCTCAAGCTGTCGATGATATTGATAGTGTCTGACAGGAATGTACTGCCTTAGCATCATACGTTGCGATGCTTAGCCGAGTTTATAAGAGCCTATCGATCAGACGAGCAAGAGTTGCTACTAAGATTGACCCAGAGCTGATCTTCGTCGAATACACAACAGTGAATGTCCATGATTTGGGGCTGGCTCTTCGGAATAAACAGCATTGACAAAGTTGGACGACATCTAATGAACTCGGCAGGCCCCTTGCGGACTGTGGTCCTACTGAATATGAGTAGTACGCAGAGGATATGTTTACGCGCACCTTGGGTCCTTGTTTCACGACACCTTGGATGGTGCGAAAACGAATGACTGGAGTAGGATTCTGCCTGTTTGCTGATCCAGGGTTTATATATATACTACACCTACCAAGACAGAGAGACTGTCAGGAAAAGAGAAGGTCATGGGTCGAGTTACTCTGGCTGATTCAGATCAGAAGTTCTGATCCATGACCTTGGCGAACCTTGCCTTGTTTGGCGTGGTTGATAGTGGTGGACTCTCTTGACTCATGACTAATGGAAGTATGGTTGAGGAGAAGTGTCAAGCCATTGTGCGGGGGCTCGAGATACGGGTTGGCATCCATACCAGACACGGTTGCGAATCATCAGTCTCAATTGACACTATTACCTTTCCCTGCCATCCATCAATCCGTTCTGTTCTCCCATACGAGCAGGGCACACGGAAAAGAGCTGGCCAATTATTCCTCAATACGAGTAATTGACACAAGAAGAAGTGTCTGATTACAGCCGAAGAGATACCTCGACATTGGGCATCAATATCAATATCAACATCAACATCTACTTGTTGATCCTGGTGATCCATGTCTTCTGTGTCTGGCGCTATAGTGCCATTTCTGATAACACACTCTTTTGACATCATGAAAGAAAAGGAGGCAGCAATGGGGAAATAGCTTATGTCCGGAAAGATTTCGAGTTCTCCTACCATACACAAAAGCTTTCAGTCGACCCTGCTACTCTCTATACCAGGGCAGTCCAAAAATGACCCTCCTTGGATGAAATAGAGAGACAACTTCTCGAAGCTGGAATTATCATTGACAAAATAAAGCAGACAAAAATTTGAACAAGCCAGACTCAACGTCCAGACCTACGGAAGCAGGCAAGAAGACGCAAAAAGTTCCAAAACACCATTTGTCAATTCGGGGGCGGGTGGCCCTCTGTTGCTTCCAACTTCATGAAAGTTACTAACTTCCACTCTTTCCGATCTGACGCTCTCTTTGAGATCTCTCGTACACTTATCGCAAATCCCCGAGAAGGCTACGTAGCCGTGCCCCGCGCGTCATGGACTAATTTCCCTTTCCTTGGGCCAGTACCGTAGCCCGCACGTGCCTACAAAGTCAGCTGTGGTTCTAGGTGACGGTCAATGAGCTCATGCATATTCAGAAGGTAGTGTGGAAATATATCTGGGACCCGCGACCCGGCTAATTGCGAATGTCCAGACGATGAGGCCACTTGCAGAAGGGGGACTGGGTGTGATCGACTTCAAGACGATGCAGAAGGCGCTGAACATGTACTGGATTCAGGCGTATCTGCAGAGCGGCTGTGGAAAGGGCTGTATCACCGCAAAATTGACTTCCCTAAGCTGACAGACCTCTACTGGAAGCTTTCGTTGAATAAAGTCACAACGGGAGGGCGAGAACTCCTATGATTGGAGATTCCTTGCCTCATCCCCCGCTTGTCTCCCTCTGTCAATCCATATTCAACTACAACGCAACTCTGTTGTCCTCTATATATTATTTCTGACGAAAGAAAGAAATAATACTACCCTCTAAGCGAGCAGTGATGCGTTCATGGCTTGAGTACAAGATACCTACACACTATACGCTCGTCGCAGAAAAAGACGCGTTACAACCATCCACTTGTCTTCGATATATAACCCATGATGAATGAGGAACTTTCCACTACCACCGTCTGAACGAGTACCAATGCCGTGGCGACATGGAGCTCAACGCGCTGTCTCGTCTGTCTCTAATGCAGAGATTGCAAAGATCAGCGAGAGGAAAGCAAAGTCGCCAATGCATCGCTCGAACTCGCTTCTGAAAATATCAGTTTTGAGAGGATCATAATAAATATGAACTTTGTTTCTTCGACGCATATCTAGTGATGACATTAGTGTTTCTCTTCTCGGCGTGATGTGGCTCGGTTCGACAATAAAGCTGCCGCCAAATCCCCCATTTTGCACTACAAACTGACTATGCAAATCCGGAACGATAAGAAGACCCTTCGATATAGCGTGTCGTTATCATCGTCTACTTCATACTTGACTGCTACTGATACCAATCACGGCTTCTCTTACGCCCTGCCCGCCCTGGTTGGTGTCTCTCTGTGTGTGTTGTTGCATACCAACAACAAAACAAGGCCTTGCGTGGAGGGTTCTTGAAACATCCATTTCCGAACACATGTATTATCCACATAAGCTGCAAAGCAGAAGGAATCTTTGAGATCTGAACGGATTGCTGCGGTGGTGGTCGGTTAGTTGTCTTGTTGATGGCGGTCACAGTACAATAGTGCTGCTATTGCGGGGGATTGATTTGTTTTGGGAAGGTACTAACAAAGCTGAAGATAGATGTAGGGATCTTTGGGGTTCTTATGTGCTTGAAATTGAATTGAACATTGGGTAGTATTTCGTTAATTCCAGGTCAGATGTTGGAAAATTACTTGCCGATGAACGGTCTGGGTTGAAAGATATATAATGATGATACTGAGTAATTTGTTGTTGTGGTTTGGCTCTGAGAAGGAGAGTTAATTGACATTGACACTTGATTGGATGGAAAGTTAGTTCGTTAGGAGCTTAATATACTACATACAAGAAACTCTCAATCATGAAAAATATAAACCAGTCTGTGACAACGTCGTTGTCAGCATCACGGCATCATCAACATGTTATCAATAGGGTCAATTATGTATTACTCCGTTTTGCCATGAGATACTCATGTAAGCTGACATTAAGCGTTAGACCGCAGGGTTAATTCCTAGTCGTGTAGTAGACGTAAGTGGGATCTTTTGTTCTCTTCTTGCTGTTAGCGATAAGACTTCTTTAACACCCTGATATCTCTATCAAATTGAACACTTGTGTTTTCAGGTTGCAAATCAGACCTACTCATTATCCTACGGTACGAGTACGTTATCAAAAATTGGCAGAGAGCCTCTGAATTCTCATTACCAGCACAGGGAAAGAAAACCCTATGGTCTTGAAAGGAAAAAACAAAACCTGTGCCGAGGCAAGCAAGCATATAATTCCTGTCTTACTACCACGATCAAATCCCAACCCTAAGTTCCACCCTCTCCAAACCTGCACTCAACCGGCATCATACCCAGTAAGCATGCTCGACGTGTGGCCGATACTGGTGGGCTTTAATAATCATATTCATACTGTACCAGAACTCTTTAGTTAACCGTAGTTTCTCCCCAAAAAGAAAAAAAACAAAAATATCACGCTTTGCGAAGCCTTATCCAGGACACTTGCAACGCTCGTACAGAACAAGTAAAAAGGGAGAGAAGAGGACAATCAACGTACATAGCAGGAGTGGGGGTACACGCTAGCACCGCACCCAATGTTTGCCCTTTGTTGTTCAAAGGTCCAGCTCTGTGTGGAAGAAAGCCGCATTAGAATCTTGTGAAGTCATTAAAGAGGGCAAACTGGTGCTTATGTTCATACCTTAGACTTGTCTTTGCAGTCGTACTGATTCATGCAGTCATCATCGGAGTCACACTATAACGAGGATATAGGTAGTTAGTATAGTCTTCACATGTTATCACATCGACACTAGAATGTTCCAACGTACGGAGAAACTGGTCGCACACCAGTCCCAATTACGGGACTCTGCGGCGGCGGTTCCGGGCTCAGGAGCAGCCAAGGCACCGGTGGTGATGGCGAGAGTGGTGAGGATGAAGCTGAGGACCTTCATGATGGGCAGTGAAAGATAATATCAGGAGAGAATAGTAATAGTTGTAGTTACTTGGTAATGGTTGTAACTTGAATCTGGTTGGAAGATGGGTTCGTTTGGTTGGGGTGAGTGTCTTCAATTTATAGATGTTCTATAACTCCCAGATACTACCCCTTCTAACGGTCAAATATACCACAAAGGAAAGAGTAAGTGAGCGACTACAGATTCGGCTGAACAGGTTCAGGCATGAGGATCACGGAATGATGCTCCAGGACTGATGATCCAGTATGTGAGACCCGGAAGCAAGGGCGCAATAGAAGACAATCGGATCCACATGTTTTACTCAAAAAGACTGAGAACTAAAAATTAAACTTTTTTCCCATCAAGGTACTGAATGAAAGTGGAGAACGTTAATAGGTTCAAATCCTGCAATGTGGACTATGTGATGTCACAAACAATTTTAACCCCGGATTCAGTCGGACTCTTTCTCCTCATTCCTTTCGGAGTGATGGGGGATAGAGGTAGAGAGGGAGAATATCCACCATGCAGATAGAGTATTGACCATGACTTGCTAGCTCAATAGCCATGTGTGAGCCATATTCATGAATTGAGTAAAGTAGGCAAGTATCTATTCCAATCAAGTCTATGCATCATGGCTTAAATGCCCACCGATTGATATAGACTACTGTGTGTACTCAGAGCCCTTACGGTCTAGTCTGACTGGAGCTGTTCAGTGGCTGAAGTCGTCCCATAAGAAGACGTCGATCATAGCGGACCACCTCATCCCCTCAGCATCCAGAGACAATGTTCCACCAGGCCCAGTGGGGAATGTCCTAGAACGCCGCTGTAAGATTCGCACACAATGGAGCGAGATGTCCTGCGGTATAATTCGGCTTGCTGATACCCAGATCATGTGCTGCTTCAGGTATGGATGGACAAACTATGCGGGCTACCGGGCTAGAAGAAATTATGCTGCTTAGAATGTACAAGGGATTCATTGATACCAACAGCCCGGTGATTATTCGATATTTCTATCCCATCTTTGTTTCCAGTCCGGTCGTATATTATAGCATGCAATATCCAAATCAACCGGAAATCTCATCAATCCTCCCAAGTCTAAGCCAATCCCATGTCCTTGTAGAAGGCGTCAGTCTTGGGCTCACGGCCCAAGAACTCTGTCAACGTCGTCATCTCATCCTGACTACCTCCCTTCTCAAGCACCTTGTACCGGTAGCGACGGCCAGCGGTCGCGTTCATAGGGTCGTCCTTGAAGACGGTGTAGAACATGTCGGTCGAGTAGACTTGCGAGCTGTTATAAGAGTGTTAGTACTTGGCATATAATGGTAACACCAAATGTGGGGATGGGCATACCTTAGGTAACCATAATAACCAGCATCATAGCCACCGATCAAGTGACCAAAGGTGGCTTCGCCGTGTCCCCATTCCTCGCCCAGGCCCAGGCTCTCCGGGCCCTCCATCTGTGTGATCTGCTTGCGAAGGGAGTTGTATGTAGCCGAGATAGGAAGCTCCTTGATCTTCTCGTGGCTCTCGGGCTGGTGGACGGTCATGTCGAAGATACCAAAGTGCAGCTGGCGAAGGTTAAACAGGGCATCGTTGACGTGCTTGGTGCGGATGAGGTTCTCGATAACGGAGTCAGGGATCTGCTCCGACGGGGCTTCCTGGCCACCGGCTTGCTCCTTCCAGGCGGCAAGGTACTCAGGAGAGAGAGTGGAGTAGTGCTTGCTGAGGGACTTGAGCTGGGAAGGGGTCCAGCACCAGTTCTCGAGCATCTGACTGGGTGCTTCGACGAAGTCACGGACGGTGTTAGTGCCGTGAAATCGGGAGTAGATCGTCTTGGCAACCAGGTCGTGGATGCCGTGACCGAGCTCGTGGAATAGAGTCACGACTTCATCATGCTTGAGCAAGCTGGGCTTCTTGGGAGTCGGCTTGGTGAAGTTGCACACAAGCGCAGTGGCCGGGTAGCGGCGGTTGCCCTCCGCGTCGATGAAACCCTGTAGTTGTTAGTAAATGTGGTTATTTTGCGCTGTGTAGGGTGCCTACCGGCTGCAAGTTGAAGTTGGCAGCGTGACCGTACTTGCCGGTCCGGGGGAAGAGATCCAAGTACAGATAGCCGACGAAGCCGCTGCCCTCACCCTCATCGTTCCAGACGCTGAAGATCTGGACGTCCTCGTGCCAGACAATGTCGCTGCCCTTACCGGTGGGGGCCACCTTCTCCCGGTCCTCACCAGTGATCTCCACAAAGACGAGACCGAAAAGCTCTTCGAAGATCTTCAGCATGCCCTCGATGGTGGTCTGAAGAGGGAAGTACTCGGCAATGAGCTGCTGGTCCAGGGAGTAGTCCTTCTCCAGCATAAGACGGTCGTAGAATCTGTGGTCCCACAGGTAGTAGTGGCCATCGAACTTCTCTCCACGGGACTCCAGGTCGGACTTCTTAAACTCGAGCAGGTTCTTGATTTCCTTCTGTCCACCCGCCGTCAGACGGGACCGCAGGTCACCCAGGAAGGTGTTGACCGTCTCCGGGGTCTTGGCCATCTTGTCCTCAATGCGGAATGCCGCGTGGTTGGGGTAACCGAGCAGACGAGCGGCCTCATCACGCAGGATAATGGCCTCACGGAAAAGAGGCACGTTCTGATTGCACTTGTTCTCGTTCTGGATCATGACCTGCTTACGGGTCTCGGGGTTCTTGGCGTACTTCATCGTCGGGAAGAGGTCGGGGTACTTGAAGGTCAGCCAGAGCTTGCCCTCGTGCTCACCCTCACCCTTCTTCAACCCAGCCAGGACATCCTCGGGAACACCGTCGAGCTCTTCGCGGGTGAACCAGAGTCCTTCGTTCTCCTCGTTCAAGTTCTTCTGGAACTCAATGCTGATCTGACTGAGACGCTTCTTGATCTCCTTGAACCGGTCACGCTTGGGACCAGCCGGGAGACCCAAGCCATTGCGGATGAAATCCTTGTGTTCCTTCTCCAACAGACGGCGAGACTCGGGGTCAAGAGACTCGTTCTTCTTAAGCACGGCGTCGACGAGCTGGAACACATCCTCGCGCATGGCAGCTTCAATGAAGAACTCATCCATCAGCTCCTCCGCCTTGGACGATGCATCCCGCAGCTCTTGTTGGGTGGACACGGCCTGGTAGAAGCCGAGAATGTGCGATTCGAGGGACATGACGTTCTCATCCTGGGCCAAGGGCTTCACGACAGCGTTGAATGTAGCCGTGTCGGGCTTGACGGTAGCCACGACGTCATCCTGAACTTTGCGGGAGGCTTCAATGAGTCGCTTGGCGTCATCGACAATGGATTGAGCAGTTGCGGTGAAGACGGGGGGAGCCTGAGGAGGGCGGCGGAGGTGTTCGGGGGCCATGCTGGCAGTTGTGAGGGATTTGCGAAGGTTTGTCAAAGCTGAATGCGAGGTTGAAGGAAGTCGAGAGCCGCGGAAATGGCCCAAGACCGAGGAAAGTCTGAAGGCGGGAGAGGAAAGGCGAAGCGGGGGAGCCACGGTGACGAGGAGAACGCCCACGAGAAGGACGAGGAAGGCGGGTAGATAAAAGGTGCGACAGAGAGGGGAGCGAATGGTGACGGTAGGAGGGGCACAGGTGGTGAAAGGCGGGGTGCTAAGCAAGCTACTGCAATGGAAGTAGCGGATCAATACGTGGCTCGACAGTGGACACTCTTGGGGGGAGAAGCTGTTTGGTGATGCAGAAGTGCAGCTGAGCTGGTCCCGGCGGAGCCTGCAGTCTGGCCGATCATGTGTTTTCCCTCTCCTCCACCACTAATTAATCTCTTCCCCCCATCTTCGTTTTCCTCAGTTTTGACTCCACACTTCCTCCTGTCTGGTTCCCTGTTCTTCTATCTTTCTATCATGTTCTCATGACGAAGCTATGGCCCTTTTGACAACGCGATCCACTCTACGTCTGCCGGGTCCGGGGTTTCTATGTCCACTTCTACAGATCTATTACGTAGCTACAAGAGCTAGAAAACCTACAGGCAACTGTTCATAAATATGTGATCACACTTTGAATATCTGGATTCTATGCAGGATTTCAACAATCGATGTTCCTCGTCACATCTCGTCGCTTTTTTTCGAATGAAATAGGTAAACCCGCGTCGACTCAAACTCGCTCTGTCGACATAAAAAAAAGAGTAGGCCAACTCCAACAACGCCATACACACGAAAGAATAAACGCCCCGAGTGCTAAATTAAAAGACGAAGGATCGTCGGAGTGGGAAACACAGCGTATTCGCAAATGGTACATCAGAATATAAGGCGAAAGGGTCATGGACATCGCGCCGCTCACGCAGCGTCGGCAGTGGGGATGGGCTCGGGGATCTTGGTGACCTGCTCACCAGCCCGGATCACCCGCTGGCCGGCATCGTCACGAACATAGCCGGCGCCCTCCTTCTGGGCCCGCTTCCAGATCTCAACCTCACAGCCACCGCGGATCACACCCACACGCATGGTTGAGAGAAGGTTGTGGGCAGCGTTGGAGTGGTAGTACACACCACCGTTGAACATGGCAGTGGCGTCCTTGCCAATACCAGAGTTGATCATGGCCTTGCCACCGGGATGGTCCTTGATGAAGTCGGTCACATCGTGAACAACGCCGGCAATAGCAATGAGACCACGGCCATTCTTAGCCTGCTCAACATAGTCGTCCCATTCCATAACGGGCAGCTGGTCGAGAGGGGTACCCCAGTCGAGACGGGAACGCTTCTGGTCAAGCTTCTTCTGGAGCTGCTGGACACGACCCTTCTCGATCTCGTTGGCACGGAACTTCTTCAGGTCGTAGGCCAGACCAAGCTGCTTCCAGGCCCAGATGCTCCACTTGGTAGGGTCGTACTGGTGCCACTCGATAGCGTTGCGGTAGTCGGAGGGGAACTCGTGGTGGAAGTTGTGGTATCCCTCACCGAGAGTGACGAGAGCAGTAATGACGTGGTCACGGGGAGAGTTGCGGTCGTCGAAAGGCTGATCACCGAGCCAGTGGGCCAAAGAGTTGACACAGAAGGTGGCCTGCTGAACGAAGAAGATACGGAGGATACCAGCGTAGACGAA